CCGGCAGGCTTCGCATGATGTCAACTAAGAGTTTGTAGGCCATGAGGTACTCACGATAATCTCATAAATGATCATTACCTGCTCCATAGAACGACATGGGAGTGAGCCTGGCAAATAACTTGATTGTAAGCTGGCCGACTTCGGATATACCTCACGCCGAAACGGCTGCTTACGACTCTTATGCAGCGGAAATGACAGGATAACTAAACTTTGTTATAAGCGTACGCTCCACTTCTTATCCCCGTTCTTATGAATGTTACCCGAGACGCCAGTGCTTGCATCCTCTACTTGCACGGCGTACAACTCTCTAGGTTCACACAGTCTCAGTAAAAATTGATACTGCTAGAAGTAGCTCCACTTCTCTCGAATCCGACGGAGAATCTACTCCCACCGTAATTTTGGTCCAACCTTGTCTATTCACATATTGTACAAATATCCACAACGGATTATCGAGCCACCAAGGCAAAGCCAACTCGTAGATTGCCAAAAATATTCTCTGTGCGGTCAGGACCCGGCAGGAAGAAGTCGCTCGTGCCAGAATCGAAGTCGACTGCAAGAGTAAGTGAGCTCTACGACCAACGCAAGAAAATTAGTTTCAACCCACCAGCGAATGCGCTAAGAGAGGTGCACCAACGCCACCAGCCAAAGCTTACCGCCGAGTTCATCAATCAGCGAACTCTTACCCGTCGCACTTACGCTTGCACCTCTGCGACGTGCGCCTTCAGCGCATTGATGTCGGCAACTTCGTGCTCCCGCAGAATGAACGCTTGCGCGCAGTGACAATTTAGAGGATCTGTCAGGACCGTACATAGGTGAGAATGGCGAGGATGCAGGGACCAATAATGGCCTGCGCCGCTGGCACGGCTTTCCTGCAGGGCGACTGCGAGAAAGTTCCCGCTGCGGCGTCTATCTTGTCCTCTTCCGTGCGTGCTTGAAGATCTCGCAGAGCGTACAACCTGGCGCACGTCAACTTCCATCCATTAAGAGCTCGAGCGCAGCCACGGTGCCCACCTCGAGAGGTAAAAATAGGCAAAAGCCCACCGCGAATGGTCGAGACCCATATGCCACCTGCGAGAGTGGATAGATGAACGCCACTACGCACGACCTTCAGTCCATTTGGAGTATGTTCCGGTGGGAGCAGAATCATTCCAATGTTATCCCTTCACAGGACACGGGATACGGGAATGCTACCTCCCGGCAGCTTCGAATGATGTCAACGATAATGTAAGCCACGGAAGCGTACGGAGGTACTCACAACAACTTCACAAGTGATTATTGCCTGCTGTGTAGAATGACATTACAGTGGTGCATGCGCGACTGCGAGTCGAGACGCCACGCTGGCCTGCAAAGCAGAAGTCAGACACGGGCCAGGCACTGGTACAGCTTTCATGATGTCTCAAGCTCGCGTAAGCTTCCAGCCAGAAAAGATAAATCGATATACTGTAACCGAATCCACCGCATAACATCAATGCGAAAGAGATCCATAACTTGTATCCCGTACCAGCCCGTACCCTTCCCTGTCCAATCCGATAGTCTGCAGCCGCTACCATTATATCACCCTCATTCGAACTCTTGATCACCGCTCGGACATTTGGGCAAGATAGTCAGACAACTACAGCAAACGTAAGCTTGCTGACGGCACAGGTAGCAAACCACAGACGCACCTTCAACGCGCCCGCACGGATAGTCTCCGCCGCATTCTGCACATCCGGGTTCGCGAGCACCCGCGAGATAGCTTCTTTGGCCGCACCCTCGAGATTCGACAGCGTGCCGTCGGCAAGAATGCTCTCGCCGCCGCTGCCGCCGGGCATGCCCTGCATCTCGTCCTCCTCGCGCCCAAAGTACTGGTTCGAGGAGATGGAGGACGCGCCCTGGAAGTTCTGCAGGCGCGTCTGCGCCTCACCCTGTGCCACGGGGTCGTACGACCCGCGCCCAAAGTACATGTCGGACGAGATCGCCTTCTGGTTCCCAAACTTATTGCGCGCTGTCGTCGGCGCGTCGTCCACCTTCGGCGAAGCCGCCGCGGATGCCGCGGGCACCGCGCCGAACCCGAGCCGCTTCATTCCCATGCCGAGTCGCTCCATGTCCTGCGCGCTGCCGAGGGGCTTGGCCTCGACGGGTGTGGTGTTCTTGCCGTTGGCCGGTGTCAGCGAACGCGACGCAGGGGCGGAGGCGGAAGCGGAGGCCTTGGCCTCTGCCGCCTTGCGTACACGTTCCTCTTCCTCCTGGCGCTCCTTCTCTCGGTCGTAGCCCAGCTGCCGTATCCGCTCGGCCTCTTCAGTAGCCTTGCGTTCTGCCTCTGCGAAATCAATGGGCGCAGCGGCCTTCTTAGCTCCGAGACCGCCGAGCTTGGACTTTTTTGACGCAGCGGTACTTGTGTTGGTCGTGGTGGAAACGGCGGGAGAAGACGTGAGACGGGTCGCACCGAGCTTAGAGTTAGGTCGCGAGCCTGGTGTATTCGGTGATGAGCGAAGGGACGACGAGCTGATGGTGCGCGGAGCGGGTGTTCCTGTCACGGTCGCAGCACGCCCGAGGACAGGCACCCCCGGCGATGACACCGATGAGGCGGTGGGCTTTGCTGCGGGCTTGTCCCAAGAGGAGAAAAAGTCGTCCGCCTCGCCGCCTGCGGCACTGGAGGGAGTTTCTGCAGCAGTCTCTGCCATGCCTTCCACGAAAATACGCGTAGGGTATCTAGCGCAAACGTCAGCTCATGCCCGGCACGCCAGTGGGGGGCGATCCAGCAGCCAAGCCTAACGCCTGTACTCACTTTGTAATGTCGTCCTTCACTCGCTTTGCTAGCTCTTCTTTGTACAGCTCCGCAATCCGACTTGAGTACTTCTTCTTGGTGTCCGAGTCACTTAGTGACGTCGCACCACCGTGTTTGGTGAAAAAATCGGTAGCTGATGCATTACCTCCAACCTTCATCGTTCTGAGCTGGTTTAATTGCCAGCTGTCTAGGTTGGTCGAGCTGTGAGTCCGAGTTCGCTGTCAGCTTGTACGTCCGGGGCGGCTGGAGGCGACATACCGCACGAAAGAAATGTGGACACCCATGTTTCTGTGCACACTCGAGCACTCGAGGCAGATGTATACACCAAACGTCACACTCGACCATGTCGGATTACGGGCTTGACAGTCGAAACACACCTGGGTCTCTCTGAGTGCGGATGTGTGGCTGATATCGCAGAATGCGCACCTTGTTGGCCTTCTGGGCCTTCAGGACCTTAAAGACGGCGTCCGTCTCCACTTTTGTTGGCTCTGTCATGATCTAAATGGAGACAGACAAGAGTATGAGGGCGAAGATGGAAAATGTGGTGGAGGTCGCGGGTCAAGGCAGATCTGAAGCGCGAGATGATAGATCTGCCACGTTCACCGCCAAGGAGAACACTAGTTCGTAACCAGAGTCTCATTGAGACTCGCCGTCAGAATTGAGCAGACCTGTAGGAAGAGCTTGCTTGTCCGATTTCCGGTCAGCTGAGAAGAAGGGAACGACGCCGTAAGCGACGTTACTTAAAAGCACAAATACAAAGCATTTTGGTCTACTGCTATTGGTACATTGGAATTTCGTTGGTATCTACACCCATTGAACAGGTGTCTTCAGGACCTTTACCAGTTTCTCCTCCTCAGAACCCTCCTCCGTACCCACCTCGCTCATGTACTCCCATCTCGCCGTCTCCGGGAGACTCATCAGGATACTCTCAATCCTCGCGCCCGGCGTCGCCAGTCCAAACTTGGTCCCTCGGTCATAGACGAGGTTGAACTCAACGTACCGCCCGCGGCGGATGAGCTGCCAGCGGCGCTGCTGAGGCGTAAACGGCATGTTGATGCGCTGCTCGAGGATGGGGATATACGACGGGATGAACGCGTTGCCCGCGCTCTGGATAAACGCAAAGATCTGCTCGGGATCCTTGGGGCGGACAGCGTCGGCGGCAAGGCGAGCGTGTGGCTGGTCGCAGAGGTCGTCGAAGAAGATGCCGCCGATGCCGCGCGATTCTTGACGGTGCGGAATGAAGAAATATTCGTCGCACCACTTCTTGAACGCCGGGTACATCGCGGTGCCGAACGGGTCGCAAGCCTCCTTGATCGTCTTGTGGAAGTGCACCGCGTCTTCGGCGTAGAGGTACGACGGCGTCAGGTCGCAACCGCCGCCGAACCACCAGGCGAGCACCCGTCCGGGATCCTTCTCCTTGTCCTCGGACTCGGTGATCTCAAAGTAGCGGTAGTTAGCGTGCACGGTCGACGCATGCGGGTTGCGGGGGTGGATGACGAGGCTGATGCCCGACGCGAAGAAGGGGAGGGCCGCCGTAGCATCTGGATCATAAGGGATGGACGAATGTTCTACCCGCATCTGCTTGATGGCAGCAGGAGGGAGCGTGCCGTGGACGATGGAGATGTTCACGCCCGCCTTCTCGAGCACAGATGTGGGCGCGGTGGTGTCGGAGTGGGACGCCTCGGGGACGGCAAACACGCACGAGGTGCCCTTTCCTCCTTGCGGGCGCACCCACGAGTCGCGCTTGAACGGTGGGGAGTTGGGATCGAGCTTCTCCAGCGCGGAGACGATCCTGTCCTGGAGGTCGAGGATATACTCCTCGACCTGGACGCGCATCGGCTTCGACATCTCGAGGATGGGTGGCTACGTGCGAGATATGTAGTCAATGCCAGCAACCCTTGCCTAGTATTTATTATAGTGTCCCACTGAGATTCTCAAGGAAAGCGAGCGGGTCGGGACCGTATTCACGAGCGGGCCCGGTGCGTCTGGACTCTGGATCGTGGGCTACACGGCGGAATTTTGTCCCATAAAGCTACGACGTCGGCTTCGACAGCTGAGTAGACTCACGTCAGAGGTCTGTTGGTGATGATTTGCACGTTCTGGACTCCAAGAAAGCAAACAATGAAAGCTATACGACCGAAAGTCAATGTCGAAGCCATGCTGATGGCGATTTACGTTTACTTACCGCACTTACATAGTAAGTAGTGCCCACTAGCGTCTCTTTGCTGGGTTTTGTTACTGCTATACAAGTGGTTCTCTGACGAAAGCAAAGTAACCGAAGGACGCTTTCCGTTCCAAGTCTAGTCCGAGGCCCGAGGCCTCCTCGCAAGGCCTATCGCCGTCTACGACCCCGCCGCCCTCCCGACACCTTATACGGACCATTGCTTTCTCGCTCCCCAGCTCTCCATGATTTTCAGGCTCGGGTTTCGGATGTGTAGCGAACCGGTACCTAATGACACCGCATGAAACAGACAACGATTTGGACATGCTGATCACCTCGAGCTATCTCACCATGTCGTCATTCAATGTTAACAGCCTCTTCAGCGTGTCTGGTAAGGTCGTGTTGGTCACTGGAGGAAATCGGGGTCCAGGCAAAGCGGTGCGCCGCGTCTGGAGCCTCTCGTGAATGCAATACTCGACATCTTCGTAGATTGCGACCGCTTTCGTGACGAATGGCGCAGAGGTATACTGCTCATTCTACTCCCTATAGGATCCTCGTTGACACCATGGTTCATATCAGGTCTACTTTACTTCGCGTAATGCCAAAGCCTGCGACGAGACTGCCGAAGAGCTGAACGCTCTAGGCATGGGCACGTGCATCCCTCTACCTGCTGATCTCCAGAAAGTTATCGAGGTCGAGCGGCTCGTAAAGGAGATTTCATCGAGAGAGACAGCTTTGCACGTACTCGTGAATAACGCTGGCGCAGGATGGGAGGTCGGGATTGACAAGCAACCCGTATGTCCAGCGTCCCGTCTACTGCAGACTCATTGAACTGCCCTAATGCCAGGATGAAGCATTCACGGAAATCATCACTCTGAACCTCCAACGTGTCTTCACGTTGACTCAAAAGCGCTGCCCTTATTCCGCACTGCCGCCAAGCAGGGCGGCCGGGAAGGGCTCAGCTGGAATGACCCCGCCAGAATCATCAATGTGCATCGTCTTTGCACACCGGAGGTTCATACTGTGCTAACAATGGTGTCATTTAGATTGGATCTATCGAAGGCCTGAAAGTCGCCAATCACGAGACGTACGCCTATTCTGCGTCTAAGGCCGGCTTGCACCACCTGAGCCGCACGTTCGCTGGTCGTCTCGACTGGGAAGGCATCACGAGCAATATAATCGCATGCGGTCCCTTCCGCACCAAAAGTAGGCCCGTTCGGCTGCCCCTCTCACTCAGCTGTTCTGATGACAGCATGCAGTGTCGGATTTCATGTTTGAACATGCCGGCGAGTACATTATCAGAGGCACGCCATTATGCCGCGTCGGCAAGTCAGAGGATGTTGGCGGTACCGCTCTCTTCCTGGCGAGCCCTGCAGCGAGCTGGATGAACGGTGCCTCTCTTACTTTGGACGGAGGCTCGACTGTGGCTATGACGAGTATGCGCGGAGCTGCAAAGTTGTGATTACACCTGGTTGGCGATAGGTTACGTGAAGCTATATACAGTAGTCGAAAGCCAATGTCGAAGCCATTTTAATGGCGGTTTGTACTTACTGATCGTGTACTTACGTAGTAAGTAGGGCCCAATAGCGTCTCTTTGCTGGGTTCTGTTACTACTATACAAACTGTTTCTTACGGTTCTCCGACGAAATGTAAAGTAACCGAAGGCGCCTTCCGTTTCATCTCGACGCTACGAATCGCTTTTTCTCTACCCGAACTCGCCGTGATTTTAGGCTCGGGTTTCGGATGTGTAGCGAACCGGCACCGATTGACGCCGCGTGAAAGAGACAGCGATTCGGACAAGCGGCGACACATCTATCACCTCCGAAAGCTGTCTCACTAAGTATGTCGTCGTTCAGCGTCAACAACCTCTTCAGCGTGTCTGGCAAGGTCGTGCTGGTCACCGGAGGAAGTCGGGGTATAGGCAAAGCGGTACGTCGCGTCTGGAGCCTCGCGTGAATACAATCCAGACATGTTCGACGTTTTCGCAGATTGCGACCGCTTTCGTGACGAATGGCGCGAAGGTATACTACTCATTCCACCTGCTATACGATTCTCGCTGACAACATGGTTGATGCGAGGTCTACATCTCTTCGCGCAGTGCCAAAGACTGCGACGAGACTGCTAAAGAGCTTAACGCTCTAGGCATGGGCACATGCACTCCTCTGCCTGCCGATCTCCAAAAAGTATCTGAGGTCGAGCGGCTCGTAAAGGAGATTTCGTCAAGAGAGACTGCTTTGCACGTGCTCGTGAACAACGCTGGCACAACATGGGGTGCCGAGATCGACGAACACCCTGTACGTCCGGCGTCCCGTCTACTATGGACTTATATCAAATCGTCTACCAGGACGAAGCCTTCACCAAAGTGATCACTCTCAACCTCCAACGTGTCTTCACATTGACCCAGAAGTGTCTGCCCTTACTCCGCGCTGCCGCCAAGCAGGGCGGCCGGGAAGGGCTCAGTTGGAACGACCCTGCCAGAATTATCAATGTGCGTCGCCTTTGCACGTTAGCGTTAACGCATGTGTGCTAACAATGGCGTCATTTAGATTGGATCTGTCGAGGGCCTGAGAGTCGAAAACCACGAAACGTACGCCTATTCTGCGTCTAAGGCCGGCTTGCACCACCTGAGCCGCACGTTCGCTGGTCGTCTCGGCTGGGAAGGCATCACGAGCAATACAATCGCATGCGGTTCTTTCCCCACCAAAAGTATGTCTGTTCGGCTACTCTTTCGCTTGACTGTTCTGATGGCAGCACGCAGTGACGGCTTTCACGCTTGAACATGTCGGCGAGTATATCCTCAGTGGCACGCCATTGTGCCGCATCGGCAAACCAGAGGATGTTGGCGGTACCGCCCTCTTCCTGGCGAGCCCTGCAGCGAGCTGGATGAACGGTGCCACTCTTACTTTGGACGGAGGCTCGACTGTGGCTATGACGAGTATGCGCGAAGCTGCAAAGTTGTGATTACAGCGATAGGTTACAATGTCGCGCATTTCTGCTAGAAAGGACTACAACGCAATAAACAAAATATCCAGATCTATACAAGTACTCAGTCACCGAAGGCAGACACAGGCCTCGAGACTCGGACGGACGTCCTGCGCATCGACGCCCGGATGCTGCTCTGGCGCATGCTCTGGCGCATGCTGCTCTTGCGCCGTTGCAAGCTGTCTTCCTTCTCCCTGCGCAGCTGCTTGAGCTCACGCTCGAGCTCCCCGATGTGCACCTTCTGGTGCTCGACGACCTGCCGGAGGTCCGTCAGCTGCTGCGTCTTCTCCCGGAGCTCCTCGCGCAGCTTCTCGGCGCGCGTCTCGGCGGCGCCCCCGGCGCCGGACCCGCCTTCCTCTGCCGCGCCGCCCTCTTCGTCCTCCTCGCCAGGCACCTCGAGCGCAGGGCTCAGCCGCGCCGGCGGGAACCACGGTTCGGGCACGAGCCGCCCCGGTTGCGAGATATCAGACGGCGTCGCCGGCGCCGTCAGCGTGTACCACGAGCTCGACGTCTTTGCCGGCCCGCCCCCGAGCGCGCCTCCCGCGCCTCCGCCCCGCCGCGCGCGGCTCTCCCCCGGGAAGTAGTCGACTGCGACGCGCGTCGAGATCCACGGCAGTGCCGTCAGCTCGCGCACGAGCCCGCCGAGCCGCTGCCCCCGCGGCGTTCCCGGCACCGCAGCGCCGGCGCCGTCGCCGTACGACACGTCGGACAACGTCTCGAGCTTCGACGTCCGCGCGTGGCTCCCTCCGCTGAGCGGCGAGTGCACGTCGTGCATTTGGTGCGCGTGCAGAGGATGGTGGTGTTGGTGTTGGTGGGGATGTGCGTACGGCGGCGCGAAGAGGAACGGCAACGGGTACGGCGCGGGCGCGAACTTGTTAGGCCCGCCGAGCAACAGCGTGCCGTCGTGCGCGTCGCCGGGCATGCTCGTGACCGTCGTCGCGGGGCTCGTGACGCCGTACGATGACGTTGCGGTCGTCGTCGCGCCGCTGCGCCGGTCGTATACCTGGCTGTGCGTCACCGCGCGCGGGAGGCTTCGGATGCTGCTCACGAGCCCGCCGACGAGGCTCCGCGCCTTGCCGCGCAGCGCGCCTGACGGCGCCGGCGGCGACGTGGGGCGCTCGGACACCTCCTCGACCGTGCTCATCTTGAAGCCGTACGCGCTCGTCTCGGCGTCCTCCTTCTCCGAGCCCTCCGTCATCACCTCCGTCTCGCTGCTCGCCGTCTCGGGATCGCGCTCGTCGAGGTGTGGCGGCGCGTGGCTCAGCTTGATCGTCCCCGCGCTTGAGTCGGAGTCGGGTGTGCCCAGGTCGAACGGGACGGGGACGGGCGTATCTGGCGCGGAGGGATGGGCGAGCGAGGAGATCCAGCTGGTGTAGCTCGTTCCTGAAGCGCATCGCCGCGGTGTCTGGTAGCCGCCTGTACGAAAGGAGCCGGGTGGTATCTCAAGAAAGTCGGGCATCGTTCGTCGTCGTAGTGGAAAGGAATGATAGAGAGGGCAAGCACATTGCCTGCCAGTAATGTAGTCTGTACGGTGTGGCAGGTGTGTGTACACCATGAGGCCAGTAGCTACACGCCCCAGCTTCATCGATTCGCCGAGCTGCAGCCTGTCCTACAGCAGCTTTAGTTCATATATGCTATCAATCGGATTGGCATCGTGATTGTATTGCAGAGTGAGATTGAAAACAGCCTTATAACGACATCAATCGACAATGTTAATCCATCCGGGCAAGGAACACCTCTGCAATCAGCTCGATGCTTATACTTGTGGAAGCCTCGTCGACGCGCAGAGTCTTCAAAAGGAGTGATGTAGCTCGTCATTTCGTGCACTTGCCACTGCGATAGCGCTCGGTGATGGAGTTGCATTCGTCGAGCAACGTAGGGTGAATGAAGGGCTTCAAACCTGTTCCACTAGAACTAGTATGATGTGAGTCGCTTTAGCCCCGCGATTTGCCCACGGATAGCTCGACTCACTTTGGTGAAACAACCTGAACTGTACCCGCATCCGATGTCGGAGGCTGATCTGCAAGACGTCGTCCTTTTCTACACGAATATCGCGACTGTGCCTTGCTCACTTAGTGTGGCTGCGGCAGTGTCAGCCTGCAGGCTGCCAGTCGCAGCTCGTGCTGGTAAAGCTTTAACAGACTTGGGAGGTTTAGGGGGCCCCGCATGGCTTGTAGAGTATGCTATCTCCCGCTCGTTGCGAATCGGAGGTCCTACAGGGGGGCCTGAAGCCGAAGTTTGGTCTGGACGACGTTGTCATTCCTCGAAACGCATGGTGACCGCATTGCAGCACTTACCTGATGCTCCGAGCGCGCCGAGATCCACGCTTCGTGCGCTCGATTGGCTTCTGGTGACTCGTTTCGTCGAGAATGATTCGACTCTGTCGACTCTGACACGCTTGCGAAGAGGTTCCGGAGGCTCTGGCAGTGAGCCGCCAAGGTTTACAGTCCTCGACGTCGCCGAGGAGGGGCTGAGCTTGCGCGGCTTTGAGCGTTTGAGGGAACTTTGGGAGGTTTGGGAGGTTGGACCGCGATGCCTCCCAGCAGGGCGGCGGGCGGCATCGTGAGGTGACCTTGGGTCGGTGTTGAGTGCAACCGTGGGAATACCCGCGGAGATGGCGGCGCTATGTGGGCAGCAAGCGCAGGTAAGCACGTGGCGGCATCGGCAAACAGTGAGCAAGGGTCAACAGTCAGGCCAGTCAGGGCCAGATCCCCGTGGTCGCGTTCGTCACACCGGCTCTGCCACAAAGCGCGCCCATCCCATATCTGGAACTACCCCGCCGTCGATCTCTGCCGGGCGCCTCACTCTTTTATTTCTTAAAGCCTTCAAGCACGCCTGACTCGGTCCTCAAGAGACCCCCCCCTCCCCCTCTCTCCTCATGATGAGTTCGTGCAAATGCAAGAGGTGCTCTCTTCTCACCACTAAATCTCGAAACACCTCAGACGCAGAGTCCCTCAATGGCCGCCTCTTGCTCGCTATCCCAAAGAAAGGTCAGACCACGGTCCGCGTTCGGCTCGTCGAGAAAAGCTCATTTGAACCTAGGACGCTTGTATGACAAGTGCATTGAACTCCTCGCAGGTGTGCTCGCTGGCCAAGTCCCTTTGAACTTGTCAAGTAACCTTTTGCAGGGGCCGACATACAATTTCGGAGACATGCACGGCTAGACGTCTGCCTCGTCAAGAACCACCCCATGGCCCTGTGAGTAGTGAAAAATTTCCCCCGCTCTTTCCCCCACTCACACGTATGTCTCAGCGTGTTTTTGCCCGCGTCCGACATTCCCTCCTTCGTCGGCAAGGGCAACGTTGACCTCGGCATCACCGGCCACGATGTCATCCTCGAATCCAAGATGCAAGACCACGTCGCGGAGGAGCTCCGGCTCGGCTTCGGCAAGTGTGCGCTGCAGGTGCAGGTGCCCGAATCCGGCCCGATAAAGTCCATCGACCAGCTCGCGGGCAAGCGCATCGTCACCTCGTTCGAAGTGCTCGCCGGCGAGTACTTTGACAAGCTCGATCAGAAGCTGAACCTCGCGGACGATGCGAAAACGAAGATCGAGTACGTCGGCGGCAGCGTCGAGGCCGCGTGCGCCCTCGGATTGGCGGATGGGATCGGTGAGCGTTTTGCGTGTGCCTCGCCCTAACACCACCCGGTGCTGACACACGCACACACATTCACCCAGTGGACCTTGTCGGTGCGTAGCTTCTCGAACCCCCCTTTCTCTGCTCTGCTTCCCTTCTGAGCGCGGATCTTTTTTAGAGTCCGGCGACACGATGCGCGCTGCGGGCCTGCACGCGATCGCGACGCTGCTCGACACCGAGGCGGTGCTCATCAGGTCCAAGGAGCAGAAGCACCCCGAGCACGCATCCCTTATCCGCCTCATCACGAGCCGCATAGCGGGCGTCGTCGCTGCGGGCCGTTACGTCGTCTGCGAGTACAACATTCTCCGCGAAAAGGTCCACGACGCGACCGCGATCACGCCCGGCCGCCGCGCAGCGACGATCAGCCCGCTCGAGGACGGGGACTGGGTCGCGGTCAGCTCGATGGTGCTCAAAAAGCAGATCGCAGACGTCATGGACCGCCTCGTCGCGATTGGTGCGGAGGACATCCTGATCTTCAACTTGGATAATTGTAGAGTGTAGCGCTGCAGTAAAGTTTAAACGCTGTATTGTATGTAATACTACGTGCGTCGTCTGTGCGATTGTCTCATACCCCTCGATGACACTCACCGCTGGCGTGATCGGTGGTTGTATCGCAGAAGCGTACGCTTCTATCAATAGGCGTTGTCCCTGCCAGGGTCATGGCCGCCCTATTCGTGATGGACGAGTGGCAAATCCCTGCAGATAAAATAGGATTCGCATCTATGACGGCCTGAGAAGCCTGTTTGCCCTCGCGTAGCAAATCACGTTAGCTCCGAGCGCTCTTTCCTTAGCGAAAATAACCTTCGATACTTATTCTGTCAACCGCGCAAGGTGCGCCACGAGGACTCGAATGTTCTTATTTCAATATACTGAATCCCCATGAGCCTGTCTAGCGCCTTCGCTATTGAATATTGACTTGCGATCATCAACGCCGGCGGTTTCATCGAAGCCCGCACAGGGCCGTAAATCAGTAGACACGAGCAGACGCGAACGGACTCCATAGAAAAAGGCTATCACTCCAAGCGAGATTGAAAGACGGGGTTCTCATTTCAATATTGCGCTCCTTCGAGAGCCCCGCACGAACTTACACGGAACCAGTGCGCAGGATCCTCAGAAGAAAGGGCCAGCTACGCAAGCGAGATTTGTATTCAATAAGACAATATACTCCAGGTTTGTACCAACGCTCGCACCAGGTGGTGATCACGAGTACTCAATATTTCGTATCCCTGCGATGCACGCTCGCGAGTGGGCGATGCACCGTGCCCGGTGTGTCGCACATTCGCCGCCGCCCCGAGTGTTCTGACGTCCCGTGACCAGGGTTGCCTGCTGCCGCCCTAGAGTAGAAGCGTCCAATTGGCCCAGAGAATAGACTTGCGCATGCAACAGCGGCTCTGGGTATACGCGTGTGTGCCGATTTTCGAGCCGTGCATGCGACTCAATGCACTCGGCGAGTCTCAGGAAAGTGGAGTCGCGCGGTACGCGCGTCAACGGACGCCTTCGAGAAGATGTGCGCGTGTGGATCACGGACAGTTTTCCTAGCCTGCTGACCGCTGCGGTCGCATTCCTGAGTTGTTTCTTGTGCGCTCGTACGTACGCCTTCGGCGTCGCCAGGACGTGCTGGCACAGAAGTGGGGTTTGTCTCGAAAAATTCGTCTTGCGGCTCATGCTTCAATATTCAATGCCGACGCGCTTGACGTATGCGAGGCATCGAGCGCGGCACAGGGTGGTAAGCGCAGTTTTTTTCTTGAGAAAACTCAGGCAAAAGCGGCTAAAAAAGGCCCAGTTATTCCTCAATTCTACGCTGATGCAAACTGAGGAGAAACTGGTGCAAAACCAGCCAAAATGGTCTAAAACACAGTAAAACTGGCGGAAAACTGAGTTTTGCCTTCGGTTTTTTTCAAGTGAAAATCGGAGAAAGTTGGGGCCTTGTTCAATCAGTTTTTGGCCAATTTTACGCCGGAAAAAAGTGCGCTCACCACCCAGTGCGGCTCGGAGAAGCTCGATCCTCTTGGCATCAACAATTTCCTCGACCCCTAGCCCCCTCCCAAGGGACCCTCGGTGGTTTGCCTCTAAGTTTTGCTGATAAAGATCCGGTAGAGCGGGGTGTCTCTGCAACGCGTTCCCAAGCCCTGTCTCACGGGACCCCTAGTGTCTCTAGGACCTATGGCGGCTTGATGAGCTACTCAGGGCTGCCCGAGAGCGCCAGCTTGGTTCCCAGGAGTCTGCGTTGTGGTACACAAGGCGCAGCCAGGCGTGCAGAAGCAGAGGCGCCTGCTTGGCACAGCTCGAGAATTTGTCTTAGGACGCGAGACGTGTGCCAGAGCCAGCAGCCCACGCAAATGCCAGTGTCCGTTGGCAATCTGGCCCAGCCTTCGCTGGAGCTTCCCGCGTTGTGGCGCGGCATTCACCGTGGTCGGTGTCCCAATGCTCTCCGACTCACCGGTTGCCAAGCCTCTAACCGATACAACCATCAACTTGATCTCAATCTACTTTCCCCTCTTCGCCTCGCAAGGTGCTTGCTGGATTCATGACACCCAAGTGTCTGATACAAATCGTGGATCGACTGGTCACTGTTGCTCCTCAGGACTCCAGCTAGTCAGGGAATCGTGGAGGACGGAACCATATTTGAGAGAAAATGTCAAGATATAATCGTGAACTTTGCAGCCCCCTCAGTTTGGCTGATACTCAGTGGACAGCGAATGCAGTGTGATAGGTGACTTGACGTGCAATAGGCAACAAACAGCAAATAATGCCATGCTTTCGAAGCACGACTCAATGGAAGAGCTCCTCTTAAGTCGTTGTGTTGCTTTGATAGCTACTCTAAACATTCAGCATTAATTGGGCTCGTACAGCTGACCGTCTTCGTCCCCGGTCAGTTATGACCTCTCTCCGCGTGTCGGGGACTTATTACCGAACCGACACACGCTGTACACACGAAGTCGCTCTCTATACAGCCTCCACCAATGCTGCCGACCCCGGCTAAGGTGCGACAAAAGCGAGCCGTTCGTCGACTTCAACTTGCAATGTCTTGGACTATGTGCGCTCGTGCCCGTATCTAGAGTCATCGGTATAAGGGCAACCGATGGTCCTATGCTTGTTTCCTCTGGAGCGGACAGTGGACTCCTCCACGGGCCGAAACTTGCGCAGCAAGTTTCGCAGGTGCGGCTGGCCAGGCGCAGGCTGACCGGCAGAGGGCACGACTTCTGAATCGACGTCAAACTTGCCGGGTGCTACAGAGTGTTGTGTAGATGAGGAGCACATACGTCGATCGGTGTTAGAGAATAAGGATCTGGTGATGCCTTCGAGTGTTCTTTCTCGTGCCTTGCTGAAAAGCGGTCCAAGTAGTACATAGACATCAGTTTGCTCTCGGATCGATTGGCCCCACCAGACAATCACTATCCCTTGGTTTTGCTGTCTAGCCCACTACCTATCCGAGGAACGGGAAGAGTCATACGTCGAATTTCACCCATCGATGATCGAGACCATGTTGCGCCAAATCGCTAGGCATCGAGAGGAGAGACCTCGAGGATTTGCATCTTCTGCCTACTTGTAACAGTATTAATATTAATCTTGCGGGTTGGGCTCTACGATGTGAGTAGGGAGTTCCATGTTATCGAAGAGCGACATTTTGACCACGCCTCGACAGTGACCGAGATGCAAGGCAGTCTGAACAAATCATGGTGTCTATTAGACTATAATTTCTTGCAGATCTTGATGAAGAAAAGCAGAGGAGGGGTGGGTATAATCGACAGGGATAGGCAAGCTGCTGCTCTTAAATTCGCTTGCGCTTGGTGCGCCACGTTAATTACCCAGCGGGTTTATCCCACTTTTAAAACCCCGCCATTTAAGCGCCATGACCTGGATGATCCGGTAACCGCGAGATGAGTGATCAATACAAGATGCTTGCTATTCTAGTAAGCTATAGTTACTTACATCTCAAATTGTTAGCGATAACTGACGGGCATCGTCGGAGGGGCAGGCGAGGTTTTAAATTTGAAAAGTTGAATAAACTTGAACACTTCAGTGTCAAGTCGTTTTTGAGCCTTCATCGCGTTCAGGTTCACTTTTAACTTCGCATAACTCTTGAATTTGACCATGCTGCGCTGCAGATCTTCGTCTCTCTATTCACCCACTCATCAATAATGCCGTCAAAACCAAAACAACCAACACCAAAAAAAACGAAAGCGTCGAGTCGTCGATACAATATTGACTAGAACTATGATGTCACCAAAGTGCTGAGTGTCCCCCAATCGCCTAATTGTTGAAAGATGTCGGTGTTATGGAGCGAGCGAACCAGTTTGGTTGCATCTGCTCCTGGTGCATTGCCTCGTGCATATTAGGTTCAAGGAGTGCTGATGCTGGGTCAACATGAGGCCCGAAGCATGGGCGTGCGCTATCTCTGAAGCTCACACCCTTTAATCTGCTGCGGCGACGATTGGCAGCAGCAGCATTCTTGCTCTTGGACCCTCAGTACCCTCTATCATGGCCCCAGATGGGTCGGATTGGCGCGACCGCTCTACCCCTTCCACCCCACCCGGCAGGGGACAACCTGTGCTCTCTCGAGGCCCATTTCGTGGCCGCTTCTATCCCAGAGGACGAAGCGGTCCGCCTGGTCCCAGGGGCCATGGTCATCCCTCCGTACCACGTATTCCCGGCAAGAATATTCTCGAGGGGCTTTACCCAAGCACGATTCAGGTGATTGAGAAACCGGCAGAGGTACCAGCAGGCGATGACATCGTGATTGGCGATGTCCAGTACATTACATCGTACAGTTGGGCGGAGGGTGATGAGCCTACGATCCTTGTCCCCGGTACGCCCCAACGGCCTATTCCTAGGGAAGCCGCCGGCTGACACCCTCCCAGGTTCTCCTCGGCTGTGGAAAAACGACCTGCCGTTCCCGTTCCGTGCCCCTCGGGACAGTGGTATCGTGTTCGTCTACCAGAATGGCCACAGATGTCCCTCGTACCCGCTGCTCCCGCTCTTTGTGGCAGCCGATACGATGGAGAGCGATGGCCATTCCCCGACGACATGGAGCTCGGTCGACATCGTCACGGATCGCAACAACCTGCGGAAGCTCTGGTCGTTCGTGGAGAACCCGGAGCCGAGCGACTTCCGTATCGACTTGGAGCTCGTGGGGCCGTGGACGGTGCTGATGCAGAGGTGGGAAGAGCGGACGGCCGAAGAAGTGGAGATGCGGGGCTTTGGAGGCTATGGCGACTCGTTCGAGCAGACATGCACCACCACTGCGCCTGGGTGCGAACGCGGAATTTTTGCAGGGCATCATAGGGTTATCTCATATGTGAGCACCGGATGGTCAGGTGTCGGTACATACTCAGGACCGATGCGCAGGACATGTCAGGGCTCAAGCTAGTCGTGCGATGTGAAGTAGATGCGTGCTTTGCTCCAGAAGAGGCCAGTGCAGAGGTCGGCGACCAATCCCAAAATAACGCCAGCAGTCCTGACGATGACCTGACGAACGCACTTAAATCTCTAAGCATCTCCTCTTCCTCGAACACACCCGCTTCGGCAACTACACTTCAAAAGCAGGGGCTTACAGTCGTCAAAGCCGGCTCCATCATCCCTCAGTCCTCCCTGATCAAAGTGAAATCACGCTCCGAGCAGAGTATGACCTCTTTACGCTGGTACGAGATCTATCCGCAACTTCTGCTGGGGCAAACATTCCACTCGATGATCGGCGTGCACCGCTCTGGCGAGTTCTCCAAAGTGCGGCACGTGGAACTTGACTCGCCCGAGCTGGAGGACGTCGCGCGCTCTGCGCAGTCTGGGCTCCGGAAGCTCAGGTGGCTACTCGAGGAGATCCAGCACGCCGCCATGGAGCGCGGGCAGGACGCCAAGCTCAGTTTGGTGTGCAGGCAGGGCATGCTCGTGCTCATGAAGAGAACGTCCTCAGCTTCGCTTCTTCCGGTGGATGTTCTCAAGCGCTTCGAGGTATAGTTGCGCGCTGTGACGCAGGTATGCGGCTCATCTTCATGCATTGTCATCGCAACCTGACATGATGCAACTTCCCTCTCGCAGGCTATGCTGGCCATCAGCTCAGGGGGCGGCATATCTAGTCCTAATAGTGCGCCGTTATGTCATTCGTCTCACGAAAGTACTTCGTATTGGACGCTGCCACATGTGTAATATTAGGGAGATGCGTGTCATTTTCTGTTACTCCAGTTTTTCATGATACCTGTTACAGAGGAACGAGAATCGAACACGAGGATTACCCATGGGAATTTTTCCCTACTTAGGTGAGCTCGATAGATAACACTGGATGCTTCTGATCACTATCGATAAACCGTGCGGTCGTTTTGCATTCTCAGAGTAGTACTTGAGCTCGCCATCCGCCTGTCCTCATTTTGGGACACCACCCTCGTTCCTTTCCAGCCGTCCCGATGGTGTGGCCTGTCGCGTCCACCGGGTTTCCTACCCCGAGTCTACAAGATGCTTTGGCCGCCTCTATCTCAAGCGGCACCTTCACCGATACCGCATACTACCTGTTCTCATGTCGAACCGCTGATGGTGGGGCGAGGCATCCGCGCGCTGTGTACGCTAGCAGCCAGGTCTTAAAAGCGTCTGGGGATCATTTCGACGCTCGTAAGCACGTTTACGCTGATGGTTCGCGTTGGCGTGTATCTGAAATTTTCCGCACAGAGCTCGGTGGCGGCTTCTCGACGAACGACGAGATTCCAGCTCAGACGAGCGATTACGGATACGAGTCCGACAGTGATCTGGACGACGAAGAGGACGTGAACGGCGACTTGGAGATAGTGAACGGATCCAAAGGCAAAGTGCGCCACTTTGAATCCTCATTTAGCAATTGTTAGCCAACACTCCTCCGGGGTTAGGCCGTGGAGGATATCGATAAGGAGCCAGCGTCTATCTCCACTACTCTTCGTGACGAGGCTACAGCTCGGGGAGTACAACATAACGTGTTTGTCCCGGATGTCGCGGCTACAACGTAGGACCAGCCTTTTGTCTGCCGGCTCAATCATTCTGAGCTTGCACTTTGGTAGCTGGCGCGCCCTCATCTTCTTCATATACACAGGAAAGGTTTATTTCTCCCCTCTACGAGCGTACGGTTTAGAGAACCGCCGCAAAGCCTTGAGATGCCATGCGGCCCAGAATCCTGACCTCCCCGCTTTGTGCTCACCAAAGTCGCTATACAGGCTCGCTGATATCGTACGTCGATATCTTGTCCCAATCTATTTTTGGTTTGATCATGTTCTTCTGCATTTAGATCAGTCTGCCAAGCCTCAAATCTCTGGCAGAAGCAGATATCAAACGACAGCTCTCCGTCACTTGCATCGCAGAAGAGCTCTTCTCGTGCTTCTCGTCCACGTCAGTTTCAACATATCACCGACCTATTACAGCTGTGCTCACGTCTCTGCAGATATCCTGACATACTCTCCGCACAACTTGGCTTTCTCTATGCAGAAGGACGGATGCCACAAGTAATGCAGAAGATAAATAAGAATCTGGCGGCGGTCACGGCGGGTCAGATGCCTCATGCCGAGGCAGTGTTGTCGGCCCTCTTGGGCAAACTGTCTGAGACGCTTCTGCTTGCATCTGTAAGAGCAGCCGTTTTCGCACCTTTTCTAAATTTAACTCTTTGTCGCATGATAGCAGGGCTCCGCGCGAAAGCAACGATACACGGCTCCCACTCTGGAAGAAACCCCGAAGTCCGAGTCCGAGCCTAGACCCGGGCTGCCGCCGTGGGCGACCTCTGGCTAAATAATCGGTATGGACCTCTCTGACAAGTTCTTTAGGTAGTAGCACGTAAATCTTGTCTCGTCGGAGCCGAAGGATAATGCACTCTCTTTCCAAGCTGGGCTCCGAAATTTGCTCGAGATTCCCAAACTGCACATTCGACGCGACCTTCCGCTTTAAGAGAGTACTCGCGTATTACATAATATAGCGCCCTGCTCATCCCTGTTACGCTTGCCGGCCGACCTCTTTGCGATAGTACTATAACTACGCGACCCAGCCTCATCACAACGCTGCCATAAATTATGGTATATGCATCAGGCGGGGCGTTCTTGTATTCATAAAGAGGACGCCCCTGGCCGTGCTCCTGCCGCTGGACGTCTCCAGGCGCACGCAATGGGCGCATCAGGAAACACTGTTTGGCGCCGTAGTGGGGACTTCACTACCGAAGCGTCCGAAGCGTCCGAAGCTAGCGGCGCGCGGGACTGCCCGCCGCGTAGCACAAGGAGTCGCGGTAGTGGCCTCGGAGCAGAAGCTCACCTTCTGTTTTCATTATAGCCACAATTACTCATTTTTAAGTAATATAATGATTTCTGTAACCGAGTAGCTAGTACTACAGCCGTTCAGAAAGTTCTCACACGAGAATGAGACACTCCTTTGCGCGGGCGCTTGGAGCGATGCGCGACTCTCCAAGTCTGCCAATGCCGGCCCTAAACTGATGGCGCTATCGGTTCGTTGCCACGTCGTTGTGTTTCAGTTCTTCTCCCATGATATCCTAAGCTCTGCCCTGCGATGATGAGCAGGTGATATGCTGCAAGTAAAGTAAGTGTTCTGAGATTGAAGATGGGCTCCGTCACTGATTACTTTTAATGTGATGCACTGCGGCCATGCAGCTCTTCATTGCCGCCGCAACGCGGTAGAGCAGTCGAGCAGTCACGACAGAAGCGGGAGGTTGTGCGGCCCTGGGGCAGGGGGTGAAGAAAGAGTGGCAGATACCAGGTGGGCAGCCATGCAAAATGGGTAGGTAGTCATCCAGTGGAGGCGGTGGTGGAGGTGCCAGGCTGGCGGAGCAAGTGGTAAGCACGGCTCGCACAGGTGCTATGTACAAAGGCTCACGGGGTTCGGCACTTGGACCTCCAGGCCATCGTCTTGACACCGTCCAACTAGCGCAAGCCCCCGCTGATGGACGAATTTGATCCGCCTCTTGTGGCGGAATCCCCGAGTCCAACAGGTTTGCTGTTGGCCTCTGGATGGTGAATTATGTGCTGCAGATGGCAAGCATTGACTACTCAAGCACGTACCTGCGCACGCACGAGCTGGGCATGTCGTACAACCTGCTCGAGTCGCCGGCGGGTGTCGCGGGCGGTGCGAGTGTGGGCAGCACGAACACAAATACGAACTTCTATGCGATGCTCGCTGTAGCGGGGGCGCTTGTGAACACGAATAGGAGCCGCATCCTCGACCTCAGCATCGACGGCTCGCAAAGCAACTACAGCGCCGCGCACGCAGCTACACCGTCTACGACCAGGTGATAGCGCATGTGCGTGCACTCACGCTCTTCAACCACATGAACGTGTCTGCTGCCGGCACCGACTTTGTGTTGCCCGCGGCACTCTCCCTCGGAGTACCGCAGCCCGGCGCCGTCCTTGTGCGCTACGTCGGTGTGTCACACCCAGCTGTGTGCCCAAGGTGATACATACTAATGTAATGTTTACCCATGCTCATTTAAGTGATAGTACAAGACATTCTATGTAAATACGGCCCTGTAAAATAGCCAATATACTATCCAATATTAATATTCTGATGACACTTGCATGATGAGATGGGTGATTGGTGATCAATGCTACAATATCAGGTGCAATATTGCTTACATAGGGCAAGCTACAATTACACTTCGGAGCTGCTACGAGAGTGCTCCTGAGACTAGTAGTTACTACGAAAGTGCTTCCGGAGCAGGGACACGTTCGGTGCTTGCTACAGAAGGGGGGACCATTCTCCGACTGCTTCGACCTCTACACTGGCTTCGTAATACTACGTAGCAAAGTCATTTTTCCCTGATGTGGTGCATGCAATATATGTAATACTTGGCACAGGTATGCAGCTTGTCTTTGCGAGTTACTGCCACAATTTGATGAGGTACGTCCACTATCTTCAGCGTCCATTTTGGCAACCAGTTCGGGCAGCGGTACTCCTCTCACCTGATCATCTCCTCTTTGCACGAATACATTCCGTCTGGGGGTTACGTCGTACGCACAATAACTTATGGGATCCGTGTCAACCTCTGCTCTAGCTGTTTATTGTCCCAGTTACTACAAGATAGAGGCTGAGCACTGGGACCAGGCACGCCATTACTGCTCCTCGTTACCCGGTGTTCGCCGCTGTCCAAACAAGCGGCGTTTTTGTGCCACAGCGGTTAAAGTGGCAGACTGTTGTCAATGAGTGATAGGGTCATTCTGAACCTGGATGCTGAGGGCATTTAAGCTTAGTATGAGCCTGCTCTCACTTCAAGGTGCGACAGGCAACTCCCTCCGCCCTTTAGTCTACCACAATGACGCAGCCTGTCGTGCCATCCATCGAGCTCGCCATTCCGAGTCTGCAAGAAGCCTTGGCTGTCTCTATCTCCTGCGGCTCCTTCGTTGATACCGCATACTATCTGTTTTCACGTCGCACTGCGGACTACAGGGTAGGTCATCCGCGCGTTGTGTATGCCAACAGCCGGGTCTTGAAAATCACCGGGGACTATTTCATAGCTCGTAAGCTCACAGTCTCTTCGGAAAACTAGGTCCAGACGATAACGTTTTGCGCACAGAGTTTTATGGTGGTCTCTCCGCAGACGACGAAATCCCGGATGCGACTGATGATTACGGTTACGAGTCTGACAGCGATCTAGAAGAAGTTGCCGAGCATGACTCCGAACAGACAGAGAGCGGATCCAAAGGAAAGGTGTGCCCTCTAGCCTAGGATAATGATGCATTGCTGACCCTATCTAACAATGTACTCAGGGAAAAGCCTCTGACAAAACAGAAACGGACTCGACGATCTCGAGTCTTCGTGAAGAAGTGAAATGCAGAGGCGTGAAGAACAGTTTGTTCGTTCCTGATGTCGCAGCTGTGACGTATGCTCGTCTTTCGCTCACAGGAACCGATAACTGACGTGACAGGACGCCCAGCTGGCAGGCGCTTGTCTTCTTCATCTACACAGGAAAGATATCTTTCGCTCCTCTGCGGTCAAATGGTCTGCAAGCGCGCCGCGCGGCCCTTGAGGAGCACCACCGTATTCACCCCGAACTCCCCCCGCTCTGCTCGCCAAAATCCATGTTTAGGCTGGCAGACATAGTAGGTTTTCGTCATGTGTCCCCACCTGATAGTTCAGCCGGCTGATTATTTGCAATTATCGACACACAGGTCGGATTGACAGTGCTGAAGACACTTGCTGTGCAGGAGATCCAAAAGCAGCTTTCGGTATCGTGCCTCACAGATGAACTATTCTCGCAATTCTCTGCTAGGTGAGTTCAAAGTAGACATCGGTCTCCTCCGTGCCGATTCCTCGACTAGGTACCTCGACGTACTCCAAGTGCAACTCGACTTTATGTACGGTTGCGGACGAATGACACAGGTCATGCAGAAGATCCAGCTCCACGTCGCTTCTATCGTGAACGGCGCGGTTCCCCACACGGATGCTGTGCTCTTGGCCCTGCTTTTGAAGTTATCTGAAGTGCTGTTGCTCAACCCGGCGCCATTTCAGGCGATGCCTATATTATTTAAGTTCGACCGTAGAACGGAAGAGGGCCCAGTACGTTGTCTCTTTCACGGTTTCTCAGTGACATGTCTCAGAATGTATCATCTTCAGCCGCAGCCGAAACCGTTTAAGTTTAAGTTTCCAAGTGCAGGACCTTCGGTAGAAACGAAGCAGGAACCCGGATGCTCCTCCCAGTGAATGGTCGTCCGGGCGAAGATCAGTCGTGTCATGCCTGGGAGTTAGCGCCTCGAGCACATTGTAGGGCGATCTGTTTTTTTATGCGACTGGTTTCGGCTTCGCGGACCTTTGTATGTAACTTTTTGAGCCACCACAGCAATGATGCATGTCGCCCGTACTGTTCTGCTGGACAGAATGTATCGTCATGCTCTACGTAATAAATTATTTCGTGTAGCGCTTTGGAAACGGATATGAACGACGTTTTGCTTGATTTTACCTTTGGGATTACGTTTGTAGAGATGGGTAACCCTCCGGATATCCTGAGAAAGTTAGATGACAAGAAACTAGCCAGCGCAAAATGCCAGTGACAATGTTGTCGAAGTTACTTGAAGGTCGACTTGTTAAAATTTAGGGCTAAGCGAACCCAAGTGGTGGAAAACGGCTACAAAGGGTCTAGACAGGGCATTGCTGTTCACTTTACTGATGCCGAGCCAGCGAGAGTCAAGGGGTTTTACCGCGGTCTGATCACATCATTGAGCTGAATTATCTGCTACTTACGGTGTAAGTACTAGTAAGTATCGTTTGTTAAACCGACGCCTAGATTTCTAGAAGGGCGCTTATATTTCTAATCCGGCGCTATTTCTAGTACAAGGCGTATCGTACTGTAGTCATCTTGTCTTTCTCAGCATGCACCTCGCGCGTCAGTGCCACAATCCAGCAAGGCTTTTCTTCGCAGCCTACTATACTGACTCCTGAGAGGCAGCTCGAGATGCTCTTCGTTCAATGTCCTGTCGTGCATCTCATGGATATACCCCTGGGCCGTTGAAGATAATGTCGTACACACCGCGGGAGACATTTTTATGGTAATGCCTGGGATCAAACACGAGGGCTGAGCATGATGCACGTCGTGATGCGGGGTTCGCCGCTGTCCAGGTGAGCGTCCAGCAATGTAGTCAAGATTCCTGTCTTCAGGCTTTCAGCTGACTGACCACGCGGCTCTGGATCTAGGCGTGATTCCGGGGAGTTTGTATTTAAACCTAGCACGATCTTGCTCTTCCTGTGAGACGCGACAGACACCCCCTTTCACTCCGCCGCCCATTACGATGGTGCTGCCCGTTGTGTCTACCGAGTTCCCCATTGCGAGTTTGCAAGAAGCTTTGGCTGCCTCTATCTCCACCGGCTCCTTCATCGATACCGCATACTACCTGTTCTCACGCCGGACTGCTGAAGGCAGGGTAGGTCATCCGCTCGCCGTATATGCCAGCAGTCGGGTCCTGAAAGCCGCCGCCGATCATTTCGATGCTCGTGAGCTCTTAGCTGCTTCGGACGCACATGATCGGATACTGACATGTGAATCTTGTGCAAAGAACTAAGTGGTGGTTTTTCCACGGACGACGAGATTCCTGTTGCAACTGCCGATTATGGGTACGAGTCTGACAGCGACCTGGACGAAGGCGAAATCGTCGAGCACGACTTTGAAGAGGTGGCGAGCGGGTCGAAAGGAAAGGTAGACCTCTTGAAAATTGTGTTACATCTCCGGCACCGTCTGACAACGCTTTCAGGGCAAAGCCTTCCAGATAGACGAGGCAAATTTTGATCTGACTGCTTTGAGCCTTCGTGAAGAAGCTGTACGCAGAGGCGTCAAAAATTCCTTATTCATCCCAGACGTCGCAGCGGTGACGCATGTTTGCTTCTTTGCTCATCATAACCTGTTTCTGATGACTTATTCAGCTGGCACGCTCTGGTATTTTTCATCTACACGGGGAAGATATACTTTGCTCCTCTGCGATCTAATGGTCTACAAGCACATCGCTTAGCCTGTGGGGAGCACAACAGCGCGCATCCCGACTTCCCTTCACTCTGCTCACCCAAGTCGATGTACAGATTGGCAGACATGGTCGGTTTTTATCGCTACATGTGCCTCTTATGAACTGCACAGCCCACTGATTGCTCACCAAAATCAATACGCAGGTCGGGCTGCCCATACTCAAGGCATTTGCTGAGCAAGAGATTCATAGGCAGCTCTCGCTGGAATGCGTCACTAGCGAGCTGTTCTCGCACTTCTCTGCAACGTGCGTCCACAATTGACCCAGGCTCTTCTCCGCGCTGATTCCTTGACTAGATATCCTGACATACTGACGGCGCAGCTCCAATTCGTATACGACAGCGGAAGGATGGCACAGATCATGCAGAAGATCCAACGGCACGTTGCTTCCGTTGTGAGCGGCCAGATGCCCCACGCGGAGACTGTGCTGTCAGCACTCCTATCTACACTGTCCGAACTCTTACTGTCCAACCCTGGGCATCCTGCTCCACCAGTCGTAAATTTCGGCAGTATCACCGACCTATCTCGAGTACGTAATATTGCTTGCAAATAAGAAAAGAATTCTTGAGATCTCATGTGCGCCGTGTAGCCACGTACTCCTACTCTTGGCGGATCTGCCGCGAGCTCTGAGCCTCTCCCCTTCAGTGCCTTGAGTGCAAATTTTACTGGCCAGGATAGTTCTGACATTGCATCCTTGGATGAGGCAAGACCATCGCCGAAAGCGGGCATCCCAGAAGGATTTAACTTCAGGGAGCTCACTCCCGACGAGCTTCGTTCCTTAACCAAAGGGCAACGTAGGAAATACTCAATTAGGCTCAAGCTGATGAGGGAAATTCAGCAAGCGAGTCAAGCCTCTACTTCCAGGGAAGGGCATAACTAGAGCTTTTGCGACTCAAGTTCTTGTAGAAGTATTCAACACGATCGCCCGCGACCTGCAGGACACTGCAGCTCGGACTTTCCGTTTCTTTCATTGTACAATAAGTGTGTATATCTTACATGGTGCGACACATGCGCAAGTTATTCGTCTTTTCTGTTCAAGTGTGACCCTCTGACCGCATCCGCTTACCAGCAGTCATGGTTGAGCAACCATGACAGTAAAATGCACGTTTTCACAGAAGTGATTTTCAAGCAATTTCTCACCAGCGTGGTATAGTTGTTCGGCGGGGACGCTAAGCCACAGCAGCCTCACCGCTGTACTCTGGGTAGCCCATCCCACGCCCTACTATCGACGCCCTCGCTCTACAACCGTCCGGCGGAGCGAGCAGTTGAAACACGACTAGCGTGCTGTGCGGCATGAAGTTATCGTTCGGCAGCTGTACAGAGCAAGACAGCTTCTTGACCAAAGCGGTGAGATCTCACTTCACGTCAGACATGCTGCGATCTCCCGGAAGCCTGTAGGTGATGAAGACTTCTTATATTAACACCCGCACCACGACGATTGGTCAAAATAATGCAGCAATCCTCTGGGTTGCGGTGCTCTTGTGCCATACCAATGCCTCCATCCTAGGCTAGTACGGCCGTCCCGCACACAACTCACAGAGCAAGTGGATTATCAACGATCTTTACGGGGCAATCACACTGGTCGTTCACCAATCACGGCCCCTATCTTGGCGGAATCAGGCACGAGGATTGGGCATGGCGCTTTGAGTCGTGACGTGGGGATTCGCCGCCGTCCAGGCAAGCGGTCTCCGAAGACAACCCGACAGGCGGGATTACGACTCGGAGGAATCCCCATTTGGGCCTGGCACGAGCTCCCCTCCTCTTTGAAGCACGACTGGTTTGGAGTCCGCTTCGAACCGGACGGAGTGCCGCGAGACGACCACGAAAGGCCCGACGTCTTACGGGTCGGAAAGGTGAGGTCGGAAAGCTGACTGGTCGTGCCGGTAGGCGTCCGTTTCAGCGATGTCCGCCGTCGGGGGTGCTACTGGGCAACGAAAGGGGCCGGGGCGGAAGTAGTTGGCGTGCTGTCGGATTACCCCTAAACATGAGACTTTCTAGCCCCTCGGCGTTGGTGCGACAGTTATCTCCTTCCACCTCGTCGTCCGACACGATGGTGTCGCCTGCCGGCATGTCTGCCGAGTTCGCGATCCTGGAAGAGGCCTTAGCTACCTCTATCTCCATCGGCTCCTTCACTGACACTGCGTATTACCTGTTCTCCCGTCGGACCGCTGACGGTGGGGTGGGCCACCCGCGCGTTGTGTACGCTAGCAGCCGGGTTCTGAAAGCCGCTGCGGACCATTTCGACGCTCGTGAGTTCCTCGTCTCTCCAGAAGCACGCGAGAGTATGACTTCACTATTCTACACGCAGAGTTAAGCGGTGGCTTCTCTACAGACGATATGATTCCTGCTGCGACTGCCGCCTACGGCTACGAGTCTGATAGCGACTTGGATGAGGCCGAAGTCGTCGAGCGTGACTTCGAAGAGGTAGCGAGAGGGTCAAAAGGAAAAGTACATGCCTTTCTGATCGTGATGCGTCGTCCCGCCCCATCTCACAGCGAACTTAGGGCAAGGCTCCTGATGAAGTCGAGGCAAACGTCGATTCGGCTGCCCTGAATCTTCGTGAAGAAGCTGTGCGTCGAGGCATCAAGTACACCTTATTCGTTCCAGATGTCGCAGTGGTGACGTGCGCTCGCTTCGTTACCCACCGT